TGATATCAGTGCTGCTTATCTTGGACGCGAAACTCTCGGCATCATCGGTGGGGACTTCGCCTGTATGTAGTACGTCGACTTCAAACACCTCCAGGCTCTCCCAGCCTTTCTTCGCACGCTCATCATTGACCGCGCCCCCACCTGCACGAGTCTCTTTGGAAACAACAAGAGCACTAATCTCCTTGTCGGTGATGGTAGGGCCAAAAGGATCCGTGATCTGTACCAGCTTGAAGACTAGATCCGGCCGCATTTGCATTTGAATGTACTTGTCATCGGGTCCACACCCAGACTCCCGTTCAATGCGCGGCGCACTGGTTTCCGGGAGACGGAAATCCATGATGGCTGAAAGGAATGATCCAGTACTCATGCATCGCTCATCCCAGCTCTCCAGAAATTCGGCATACTTTTTCTTCGCCAGCAAACCTTCCCCGGTCACCCCGACGGTAATCTTCCGGACCTTACCTGCCTCCACATCTTCAGCAGGCTGCAATACCAACGCCGTAGCCGTGAGCAAGAGCTTGTGCCCAATGTGAAAATGGTCGAAAGTGCCTCCTACAGCCACAGAGTAATGCGTAGTTGATGTGTGGTTATTGTCCATCATCAAAAGAGATTCTGCAGCCTTCCAATTGGGTGCATCTGGGATTGCGCTCATCGATCCGCCGTTGGGGTCCTTAGACTCAGAATAGATGCTACTGAAGGCTGTTGCTAGACCCTGACCTACTTGGTTATCCGGGTAGTATATGTGATCCCACAGTCGCCCAGACCGCGCCAACGTCTGCAAGTCAATAATAGGACCATCGCACGGATTGTCCCTGGGAACGGCAGTCTGGACCGAATCGTAATCGAGTAAGATCACACGGGCGTCAATACCGCCAGGACCGTCGAGCTCAATGCCTTGCTCAACACATACAATCCCAATAAGCCTATAGATGCTTTCCAGAAGAGACTGGAGGCTTGAAAATGCCCTAGTGCGCGGCCGACATGAGGGGGATAGAAGGCCTGGAAGAGAGAGCGCAATATCTAGTGTGGCCGCGTGATTGGCTCCATTTAGTTCCCGGACAAGCTGGGTGCATACACCCAACAGAACGGGCTCGTATGCAGCCTTGAACTGGTCGAACGATGCCGAGGGGGGTGGCGGCAGCAGAAGCAGGGCCGAAAGTTGATCTGAAGCCATATTGCGGGGAGATGAGAGGGGAGCTCACGGGTGGAGCTTAGTAGAGAATGAACACTGCAAGGGTAGAGTTTCAAGGCGATAACGATAGAGTCGAGGAGTTATACAGCGCACGATGTACCCTTTGGTGCGGAATATAAGATAAGTGTAGAATCCCACCTTGTAATCCGGTGTCAAATACCTTCGTTTTGCAACGTAAGACAAGATCGCTTTCATCAACTCCAACCAACGATGATGATGATGGAAGGAGAAGCGCAGGAATTCCCCGCGATCTGGGTGGCTGAGTCAGCGGCACGAGACTCCCCTCGGCGGCGCTTTGCTGCCTCATCGCTCCTCCCTTCGACCCTCTCCTCTTCTGCAGGCATTCCTTCCCCTCGTTCGAGCTCCAGGATGTCTCTCTGACTCCTTAACCATCTTTCCCCCGTGATATGATCCAGATCGAGCACATCCCTGGTGCAGTCGGAGCTCCTAGCGCCAATCCCCTCTCCTCCGGATAGTCCTCGTACCCTCGTTATCGCCCTACGTCTTCGACTCCCGAACTCAATCCGAGAATCTCATTGAGCTCCAACTGCTGTGCGGTGGGCTGCGCCTTTCATTCTTGAGGTCTCGGGTTGTTCGGCCATCGCTGTCATGTCGAATCCTACGCAGCCTTACGACGCTCGGCGGGCGACAAGCTACGGTCGACCTGAGGAGCTCCATATTCCATCAACGGGCCCCAATCTGCAGCGACAATCGATGTCTCACGAATACCCCGCCGGTCAAGACAACCATGTACCTTCCATCAATGTTCACCCATTGGGGTCACAACCGGGTCAGTATGGTGGTGGTGGAAGCAGCGGCGCGAGCGGAGTACTCCCGGGAGCGCTTCAGCCGGGTAACGTCAACCGTCCACCTGCAGTATCAGTTAACACTGCACCTTCGGCGCTACCAACGCTACCTGAATTGAATACCCCAATGCAGCCAACATCACAATCAGGACAACAGCCCCCGTCGGCGCAGCAACAACAACAACCGCCCCAGCAGCAGCAGCCAAATGCCCGCGCCAGTATGGTCAACTCTCATGGGCATTCTAGATCCAGCCCAGCGGGGTTTGAGCAGCCAAAATACAGACAGCCAGGCTCTTCTCCTGGCTCTGCATACCCTCCCCATACTCCTCAGGGAACAAAATACTCGCCGTTGGGTCTAGCCGACATCCGACCGACAGGGGACCTTCTAGGTGACCCAATCACCAGCTCCGGAATGGCACCGTTCAACGGGGATAATCCAGTACCTACCAATAGCAATTACATCGCTCCTTGGCCTATATATTCTATGGATTGGTGCAAATGGCCTATCACGGGGAGCTCCAGCTCGTTCGGGGGCAAGATTGCCTTGGGAAGCTACCTAGAGGATAACCACAATTACGTACGCATACCCCTGCCACTATTCAATTCTGCTATTCGCAACCTCAAAGTTGTGCTAATCTCGAATAGATACAAATTATAGATACCCATTGGACACAACCCGACCCCGATACGCCGGATGCCGCCGCGGGGGAGATTAAGCTCGACTATGTGAAAACCGCAGAGGCCACCCATTCATATCCAGTAACACGGATACTTTGGGAGCCGCCATCTTCGCAGAAACAGTCTACCGATCTGTTGGCCACATCTGGCGATCATTTGCGGTTATGGTCGCTGCCAACGGCGCAACCCGTACCAAGTTCCAACACCATTACGCGGTCGGCCAGCCAACACGCACCGACAGCGAAACTGTCGCCGCTGGCTTTGCTCTCCAATTCCAAATCCCCCGAGCATACCGCTCCAATCACCTCATTGGACTGGAATACGATCTCCCCCAGTCTGATCATTACCTCGAGTATCGACACCACCTGCACGATCTGGGATATTCCCACCCTTACCGCTAAGACGCAGCTGATTGCACATGATAAAGAGGTGTACGATGTTCGGTTCTGTGCGAATAGCGTGGACGTCTTCGTCAGCTGTGGCGCTGATGGTAGTGTGCGCATGTTTGATCTCCGCAGCCTAGAACATAGCACTATCATCTACGAGCCCACGGAGAAGCATGAGAAGGGTAATGCCAATTTTTTCTTCTTAGAGATCCTTGCATTGTACGCTAACGGGTACCTGCTGTAGTCCCCACCCCGGGCAATGGAAGTCCTTCTGGACAAGCCCAGCCCGTATGGCCCCCGCCTCTACTGCGCATCGCTGGTATGTATCTGGTTGGGTTTGCTGGCTGCCGTTGAAATTGGACGCTAAACAGTCATCATAGCATCACCCCATGATTCCCACCTTCTTGCCACCTTCTCGCAAGATTCCAACATCGTGCGGGTTCTAGACGTCCGACAGCCCGGACAGGCTCTTCTTGAACTGAAGGGCCACGGCTCCTCCATCAACTGCGTTGAGTGGTCGCCCAATCGCCGCGGGGTTCTGGCCTCTGGTGCGGACGATTGCTTCGTACTTCTGTGGGACCTCATCAACCAGCACAATGCTGCTCCTGTGCCCCCCATGCCTCCCGCCCCGCACAATGCGGGCACGCCCGCGACACCCAGTGAGCGTGGCCCGGCCGCCGTATGGCTCTGCGACAACGAAGTGTCGAACATCAGCTGGTCGCCGCAGGGCGGTACCACCCCTGCCGGGCATCCGCGCGACTGGCTCGGGGTCTGCGGTGGACGTGGATTATGGGGGGTGGCACTGTAGCGCCATGGAGAAAAGCACCATTAGACGACTTGTTGTTTTTGTTTCAACTTACACTACACCATCGTCTCGCGTTGCTGTGTTTTCCTTTTTCTGTTGGCTTTACTTTGTTTCTTTTTTCTTTTCCTCTTTGGATTTGGCTGCCACCTTCGGTATCCCCTCACGCTGTAAAGAGATTCTTGGGTTGTTAACTGGCATGGTATGAGTGAACGAATGAAACGAACTAGCGTATAGTCGAATGAGTACCTAGGTGTATGTCAGAGGCACTTGGGTTGTGCTTTTATTTTTCTCGTTTACAAGTGGATATCTTGAACGGGGAGTGGATGAAGCCGGGTATACTATAGCTACTTACTACTCCCGTCAATCTATACTATACAACCTGCACCATTGACAGACACAGTCCAAGGCATGGTAAAAGAACATTCTACAATTCTAAATAGCTAAACCAGAGCTTTAATATGTATCACCTTAATATTTCAAATGTATTTGTACACTGAATAAGACATGAGAATCCAGTGCAAAGGGGAGTGGAGGCAGCGTCGCAATGAGACTCAGCGCGGTGCAACCTTAGGGCGGAAGGCATTGCAGCAGGGAAGGGGACTATACACTCAATGCTACTTTACTACTTACCACTTTCTACTTACTGAGTTAAACTTATCGGTGATGTGTCTCTTCCCCATTTCTCAACTGACAGCTAGAATAACCAATTCTCATCCTCATTCCACTGCGCTTCATCTTCCATCACCCTCTTTACTCCCAAACTCTCTCTTTCTATGGGAGCTCCGAGCCGCCAATCGGCCACCCGCCAATTGCACGCCAGAATACGGTGCCGATCCCGCGACGTGAACTTCTCGACCTTCAATCCCAGCTCTCCTCATTCTTCCCTTCTCCTCTTCCTCCTCGACTTCGGCTTCCATCCCGGCTCTTTCGTGCCCTTCGCCCTTCCACCCTGCAAATCGCCAACTCACTGGCGATTGCCTCATGCCGTCATTCCTCGCCATTCTTTCGTGACCTCTCCGAGCTTGCTGGCTGGAGTTCAGCTGTCCCCGAGTGATCGTGAAAGGCAGTCTGCAGCTTCCCTCTTTCTTGCTACTCAACACCTTCAGGTTGTCGCTTTCTAGCCAGCTGTCACCATGGATTTGCGCACCATCATGAACACGGAGAGCGCTGGCAACTCCAGCGCTCCCTCCCAACCACATCCGTCGCCATCTCAAGCGCCTCGCGATTCCTCCGACCCCATCTATCCTCCGCGCGACCAGCTGCCATCCTCATCCTCCTATCCGTCAGCCTTTGCCGGCCCTCCGCCGCCGCAACGATCTCACGCATCCCCCGAGCGCTCTTCCTCCTACGGCTCTCTTCAATCGCCTTACCAATATCGTCCCTCTCCGGCCATAATTTCGGGCGCGCCATCCCAACGAGCTCCGACCCCTCCTCCCTACGGTGCCTCCGTCTCGCGTGACTCCTTCGCCGCGTCCGTCGCTTACAATCAACAGCAACAGCAGCAGCAGCAGCAGCAGCAGTCCCCCGTCGCTCAACAACGGTCGCAATCCATCCAGTCTGTTTTAACCCCCTATTCCCATTCCTCCAACTCATTCCATCCCAGGGAAAGTTCCCCGACAGGCGCTGCACAACCTTACCCGTCGCAACATTTCTCCCCTCCGGCACAAGGATCGCTACCGAATACGCCACGAGGGTCTGCTGCTGCTATCTACGCCCACCAATCACCCCAATCCTCGGTTCGTCCTCAATCTTCAGGTCGTGACTCTCTTTCGAATCGAGCTTCCAGTCCGTGGGTGGGCCCGGACGCTGCCGCTGCCGCCATGCACGTGTCGCCCTCCACCGCGGCGCGGTCATCGCGAGCAGAATCAAGAACACTAGACCAAACTCCGCGCAAACACAGTTCAACCTCAGAAAGAAGGGAGTCAGACGAAAGTGTGAGCCCCAGAACTACCTTCCCTCCAGGGGCACGTCCCGAGGCAACTACGGCACGTCCCGACCAGACCGCTTTATCGCAGCCAGAACACGTTGAGAATGGAACTATAATAAAGGAGGGCCAACCTACGAACCCAAGTCTTCCCACACAACAGCAACACATCAACAGTTCCCCCTCGTCGAGAATGTCCATCACAAAGGAATCGTCTGTGGAGGATTCGGCGCCCCAGTGGGCCCAAAAAGCTAGAGTGGCTTCAGACCCGAAAATCACGTCGAGCCCGCAACAGCCCAAACGAAAACGGCGAAGGCTCAACGAACCGCCTATCTACGCCCAAAGATGTGCTCGCTCGAAAGGAAGATGTCCCCCAATCCCAAAGCCACACCCGCCTATTCCTAAACACGCAAGAGACTCGCCAGCAAACCCCTGGATCGTGCGCCAACGCGCCGTGTCCTCCGCGCAGGGAGCTGTGGCTGCTGCTGTTGCTCCTCCAGTCAAAGTAAAAGGGGAATCCACGCCCGTGAATGGACCTTCGACGCCGCAGCGACCATCCGAACCTCCACAGGTCGGTAGCTTGGGGCCATGGGAGCCGTCTATCACGGGTTTTATCCCGCACGAGGAGGTCACCAAAATTGTCGCCGATTTCCTTTTCCAACACGTCGTGCTCCGAAATGACGCCATTGCAGCCCCTGCTGGGGCGGCTGCTGCCGGTCAAATGCCTATCATTGAGGTGGAAGCCAAATTGGGTCAGCTCATCGACATGGATCGCGGGGAACGAATGGTTCTGCCAATCTTGACTGAGAGTGTTGTAAACAAGGATAATCCGCGCTTCAGGACTGCTTTTGAAAGCACCATGACTGTGGTAAGTTACCATGCATGTTTCAATGTGTATTAACCAGCTAACTCTGCAAAGGCGCAACACCGAGCCATGAATAATTTCCTCAACGAAGCGGTCAAGATGTCCATGCCCCAATCAAATCAAGGCCGCATCCCACTTTCATACGCCCACAAAAAGGAAAGGGATACTTTCTACGAAGTATCCCCCAACGAGCTTCCGCCAGTCATCCGACAGAACCTCAATCCGCGTCACAAACCCAAGGTGCGTGTAACCGTCGACCAGCGAACGGGCGAAGTCCTCGCAAAGATCGTCAAATGCCGCATCGCCGACCTCGACGTACACAGCCCTCGCACCTGCGTCGACTGGCGAATCAGCGTCAACCTCGAAATGAGCTACGACGGCGATGTCAGTAACCTGCCCGTCGCCGACGGAAGGGGTGGTCGTGGCGGCGACCGGAACAAAGATCGTATGAGTTATCGACATCTAGCATATCAAATCGATCTAACCCAGGTTGCGAAATCAGAGGTGAGAACCCTTGATAACTTTTTCACCCCTCACAAAGAAGCAAAAAAACATGCTAACATCCCTTCCCTCCCTCCAGCCCCCAGTCAAAGGCGAATTTGAACACGAACTCGAAGTCGAAATCTCCGCCGCCGAAATCCGCCGCCAAGGCCAAATGGCTATGACGGGGGATCCCAAAAACCAGTATGAAGAATTGATCAAGGGTTTCGTGGATAATGTCCGTGTTCTGGCACGAGCCGTACCGCCATAGTTTTACCTTCATTTATGTCTATCCACTTTTTTCTTATTCCATCTTCCGAAGAAACTCTTCTTTATCTTCTCGCACATAACACGGATACACAAAATCGGACGACCGGATCGCATGCAACAACTATTTAACTATTCTATGGTCGATGAGATGCTTATGTCTGTTTGTGATTCTATTATTGTCTAGAATCTTAGAGGATTGCGTCAGGTTGTTTCTTTGCAATCCCTCTCTTTATTTTTATTTTCTATCTTTCTTTGCCGTGTTTTACTATGTATTTTTATTTTGAAGTCTCAAAAGCAAGGCAAGAAGGAATGAATGCAAGCAAGCGGAAAGGATACGTTCATGTGATATTTCTTTTTTATTTTTCTCTTGATCTTGTGAGTCGAGTAGAACTTTTTTTTCTTGCTTCACCCTCTCAGGATGTTTGTCATGTGGGGGTTTCACAAGTTGTCAATGTAGATGGAATGAGGAAAATGTAATTGATGAATTGTAGTGATAAGTAGATGATACACATAATACAGTTAGTAATAAAATAAGAATCTCTGTCCAACGAAACAACCATGCTTCTCGCACCCGGATGATATGATATGAAATGATATGATGTGATTAGAATATAAGAAGCACAAAAGCAAACAAGAGAAAAGTAAAATGGTACGCCCGCATTTTGTCTATTTTCACACATTCATTTCAAAATCTTTGCTTCTGTCCTCAAGGACTAGGTGTCCCCTCTTCATACCGCGGTCCACCATCGTCACCATCTCCGTATGCACCTGCGCCTGGGGTCGCCGCAGATCCGCCCAGAGCTGGTGTGGGTGCGTCATATGGACGACTACCGCCAGCGTTATCGAAAGCTGCTGGCGTAGGTGCGTCGTAGGCTCTCTTATCGCCGGGGGTGGGCGCGTTGAAGGCACCCGGGGTCGGGGCACTATCTGCCCAAGCACCGGGCGTGGGTGCGGAAACACCAGGGGTGGGTGCGCTTCCGTAGGCACCGGGGGTAGGAGCAGAGTAGCCTCCAGGGGTTGGGGCATCGTAGCCACGGTCCTTGGTGCCGTTGCTGGAGGAGGCTCCGCCCCAGGCGGGGGTGCGGTTACCGGCGTTGGAGGAGCCCCAAGCGGGGGTTCGGGAGCCAGCGGCGAAGGCATCGAAGTCACTGTTGCCAGAGCCAACGTAGGGAGTGCGAGCTCCAGCGTTCCAGGCGGGCGTACGTGAACCAAAGCCTCCGTAGGCGGTTTGGCTGCCATCGTAGGGGTTGGAGGTTCGGGAGCCGTCTTGCTTCCAGGCTGGGGTGCGGGAACCGCTCATGCCGGCCCAAGCGGGTGCTGAAGATAAGGTTAGCACGATGAAACTGTGTATTGGTATGGAAAGAGATGCTCACTTCTCGACGACGAGGGACCGCCCCAAGCTGGTGTCCGGGACGAATCTCCAGCTCCCATTGGGGTACGGCCGCCTTGCCAGGCAGAGGGAGGTCCTCCAGATCCTCCATGGGGCACGCGCGGTCCTCCGCGGCCACGGCCCATGTCTATCGTCTGTCCCGTGACAGGGTCCTTGACGACGAGGATATCCTTGGGAATGGAAATCAACTTGTTCTTAGAATGCAGCTCTACACGAGCCTGCACATCTGTAGAGTCCTTGACGATACCGACAAGACCCTTGAAAGGTCCTTTGCGAACCATGACCGTCTTACCGATCATTCTGTCACGCCCGAAGCTCTTTTGGGGAGGGCCCATCGGACCACCAGGCATACCATTCCTCATCAAAGCCGGGTTCATCTTTGTGAGATCAGGTCCGGTAGATCTGCCGCCCTTGGCCGAAACGGTAACTACGTTGGTGGTGCGGACAACCACGATACCAGAGTTCTCGGCTTGCGCTTTGTTATGCAAGAACAGGAATGAACGGTGAATGTGGAGAATCACGCCGTTTCTCTGTTCGCCGTAGACCTCTCGAACCGTGTCTCCATGGCGAATCTCTGCGCCATTGCGATCCGTAGCCACAGCGTCTTTGCGAGGAGTGATCTTGTTCGCGACTTGTGTGGGAAGAATTGTCCGGATAGAGCCGTTCTGGTCCAACACTCGCAGCGACTCTCTGTCAACCTTGACGATACAAGCAACGGTGGCAGCACTGCATGAGTTAGAACCTGGTGTCCATGGCAGCGGGAGAAGGGAACTTACTCTAATTGCACCAAGTCATGAACGTCGAACATGCCCAATTTTCCATCAACACCAGTCTCAGCGGATAGTCGGAGATCTTTGCTGAAGACTGTGATTTCCTGCATGCTCATGTCGCTGAGTAATGTCACTGTGTCGTCCTTGACCTGTACAACCATACCCAGCTCATCCTGGTATCTGCTGCCACCGATAACCTTGACATGGTCACCCTCTCTGAAACGCTTGCGAAGGGACTTGACAGGCGCATCGATTGTCTGCCCAGCCAGATCGCCCTCCGTAACCAGCAGAGTCACGATGTCTCCTCGAGTAGAACTTGTGCGACCAATTAAGCCCTGCTGTTCACCTCGGAAGACTTCCACCGGGTCACCGGGAAGGTAGGAGTCTTCAGCAGCGGAGTTCTTGAGCGTCTCAGCCAAGGAAGCCAGATCCAAGTTTGAGGTGCCGTCCTCGGAGCCGCGAGCAAACATAGTGACTTCCTCGAGTCGAGGGTTGACATTCTTCGTGATAAGATGTTGAACCTTCAAGTCCTTAATCAAGAAGCCATCCACATATGTTTCACCGAGATAGTTCCACGACTTTCCACCCAAGCCAGACGTGGCAGACAGGTACTTTGCATGCTTCTTCTTGGCTTCAGCTTCACTGAACGCACGCTGGGGAGGTCGTGCCACGGCTGGGTTCATGCCAGGGCGCTTCCTCTTCGGATCGGCAATAGGGGCACCAATATCCTCGTTCATGCCGTAATCCAATCGCGGAATCAGTCTCACAGTCACTGCCAAGCCGTTTGTTTCGACTTCCTCGATCTGCGCCAGATCGCCCTGGTATTTACCGCGCTTGATACGAACCCAGCCACCAGGCATGAGCTCTTCGGACTTCTGTACTCGAAGGAGGTCAGGCATCTCTCTCACTGGAACCAGGATCATCTTCGTCCTCGGATACACATTGGTCATATCCTGTAGTGCATCCATGACATCGGCCTGTCTGCGCGCCTCAACATAGATATAGCCGGCCATAGCACCTCCACGTTCGAAAGCGGACATGATCTTGATGGGGTTTCGAGATCCCGGAGGTCGCTCTTCAATACGCTTCTGGATTGAGAACACGACTTCACGTTCCTTACCGGCCTTGCAGCGAACACCCCAGATGCTAGGGTCGTCCACACTAGGAAGAAGCAGTCGCTTAGGAACAACCACTGCGTCAGTAGCCGCGGCGCGGTTCCGTCCATAGCGCTCCTTGAGCATCTGTGCCTGTTTCTCCGCATCCATGCTAGCTGCCAGTTCACGCTGACGATCAAGCTGTCTGTGTCGGCGGTCGTCCGTTTCAGCACCAACAGGCAGGGCGTCCATATCATCCGGGTGCATCTCTCCACCAAATTCCGCCAGTTCGTCCTCGTCATCCTCAGCCTCATCCTCATCCTCATCGACACCGGCTTCTTCTTCGAAGAACGAGTGCACACCGGCTTTGCGTCTGCGCTTCCGTGGGCGTCCCTACAAAAAAAAAAAACCATGATCAGCCGGTGACCTTTCCAAGCTTAGGACCGGAATCTAAACTCACAGCATTGGCATCCTCGTCATCATCCTCCTCCTCTTCCTCTTCGTCTTCATCCTCTTCATCCCCTTCCTCCTCTTCGTCGTCATTCTCGCCCTCCTCATCGTCATCAGCGCCCCTTCCGGCATTATCTTCACTACCAGCACGTTGCCTTCCACTCCGTCCAGTGTTCACTTCCTCCTCGTCATCGTCATCGTCTTCATCGTCCGGGGCGCGACGCGCAGCCTGCTTCAATTGTGTATCAGTGAAACGGTTCACTTTGCCACCCAATCCTACAACAAACCTTAGTATCCTCATCCCCAGAATCGTCTGCAGGAGCGGGGTTGAAGTCATCGTCCTCCTCTTCAGACCCGAAGTCTTGGTCTAGCACGTTTCGAGACATGTTTCAGGGCGCAGGGGGGTCGATGGTGGCTTTGCAAAAGAAGCACAGATGAAGAAAAGACGGAGTGTTGAATAGTGTTATTTGTCGTCCGTCAAGCGATATTGAACTGTATCAGCTCGATTCTGATGCTCAGTGGAGTCGAACAGATATCGAACCCGGCACCGTGAAGGAACCTGTGGCGAATTCCAGCTCACAGATGTGTAGGAGAGGCGACAAATTTCCCGAAATACGAAGGACTGGAGAGGGCGAATCCAAGACGATAAATGGCAGTCCAAGTAGAGAGCCGAAGCAACCAGGTGTAAGGTTTCAGGAGCTGTTTGGGGCGGAGAGTTCCGTTCGTTCGGGGAGTCCGAGTCCGCGACCGCGACAGGATAGGTAGTGTTGTAGTCTCCAACGGGGCAAAGTGAGAGCGAGGTGAAAGAGAGGCGGGTTCTTCCCACAATATGCCAAGACAGGCTGCTAGCACATAACAGCCGGTAAATTGGCCTGGAGAGAAAGAGAAGTGGCTGCTGGGATGAAAAAGCTGATTTGGGGGAGAAGTGGTGGCCGGAGTTCAAGATCGATGGCTTCCATCGGGCGGGCGTGTTGCATGGCTGGTCCTCCTGCCCGGCCGGAATGCGCCCGGCGGCATCGCTCTTGCTCTTTTTGAGGATCCTGTTTGTTCCAATCATGAATCTTTTTGAATGGTTTCATTCAATTGAGCAAACATCCATATTGATACTAACACCGTCGGATTTACGGAAGGGTGGAGCTTATTTTGCCAACTTAATCCAACTTTGTTCATATAAATACACCATGTGGGAGATACAATTTCTCGTCCAACCCGCAAAAATGGCCATAAAAATCGACTACTATAGTGATCTATGTACTCTCAGAAAATGCAGGAAAATAGCAGCTCTCAGAGCTTCAGC